AGATTTGATCGAAGTGATCAACATTGCCAAATCCAATCGCGGTTACAGATATCTGTTGACAGTGGTCGACATGTTTTCCAAGTACGCCTGGGTGGAGCCCGTCAAGTTCAAGAGTGGACAAGACGTGACGATCGCCTTTGAGAAGATTTTGAAACGAAGTTAAGGTCGACAACATCAGAATCTTCAAACGGACGACGGCAAAGAATTTTACAACAAACACTTCCAAGCCTTGATAAAAAAGGAAAAACATTCATCATTTCTCTACCAGTTGAGACACCAAAGTCAGCGACGTGGAACGATTCAATCGCACCTTGAAAGAAAGAATGTATCGATATTTTACCATTGTTACGCCGCAAAATGTAATGATCGCCGCAAAATGTAATACTAACGCAAAATGTAATAACAATCGCCGCAAAATGTAACACTAACGCAAAATGTAATAACATCAACGCAAAATGTAATAAAGTTATTAACGCGAAATGTAATAACTTTCCAACCCAAAATGTAAGAAATTTTTTAACGCAAAATGTAATAACGCCTGAATTGCAAGTATGTTCAAAACAAAAGATATGACAGGCCTACACGGACTCCCCTCGTGAATTGCGATAGCGATGCATTTTAGCCTTCAATTAAATTTTCGTTCTAAAGAGCGTATCTTTTAGAGATTTGTCTCTCTTATATGATATAATCGGAGGTTTAGTATAGATGCTTTTACGTAAGCTTCATTTTCTTTGTCCTCCGCCATGTGTTCTTCGGTGTCCGTTGGAGGACAGTAAGAAGGCGTTTTTGGGGCTGTTTAATCGACATCCTCGTCACCAGACGTATTTAGCGTGAGTGAGTGAGTGCGTGAGTGAGAACTTTATTAAAGTGTCAAAAACCTTATAGCCTGGAAATAATACATAATACTAATTAGGGGACACTGCTAAAAAACTATACTAATACTAATATTAATACATTAAAAAAATAAATGACTTGAAGGGCATTATATGCAGCATAGGATGCAGCCCTTACAGCCGGTGTCCATTAAGCGCGTTATATCCCTTTTGCGAATATAGTTTGTAAAAGCCTGCAGTGTCTTGGCTGGTCTGTCAGCCATAAACAGTTTGCCCCATAATTTGGGTCCTACATAACGCAGAGAGTGCTTCCCATAAGTAACAGTGTTGTATCTAGGAGTAGAAAAATCTGATTGTCTCAGGTTGTATGCAGAAATATGCTCGTTAAAAATGTTACAGATGCTATTAGGACATAGTCTATGTTTAACTTTGTACATGACAATACAGATGTCATGTAAACGCCTGTTCGCTAGAGTTGTCTGACATCATAGTTGCTTCAGCAGGACCGCTCGGTTTCGATTCTTCACGAATCCCTTCAGCTGCTGTTTGGAGCGTGACAACTTTAAATTCAGTGTTACTCAGGGAAAAGTAGAGGTTTCTCAATTCCGTTCCCACTTGAATAGTTGTTTGGTGATCTTTTTATATCAGGATAGTCTGTGGTTAGGATCGAAGTTGTAGCTTTCCTAT